AAAGAGGTAAAAACGATAAAGTAAACACCATAAGTGCTTTCTGTGACGAACGAAGCATGTATTGCTGCATAATATCCCGGAGCCTATCATACGGGATAGTAAGATTAGACATGAATCCGACAGGAGGCATGTTCAAGACATGTTCAGGCTAGCAGGCCTTCCCCCATAACGCGTTACGTAAAATGCCACCGCGTTAGTCTTTGGAGGGAATTTAAAGCTCAAAAACCAAGACACATACTAGTGGTCTTCAGTAGCACATATATGAGAGACCTGGTGCTAGCAAAAGCTACCAGAATAGAGATAAACACCCAAGGAGCTATAAGAGTAACTCCGGACGACGGGACCATTATGAAACCGGCCGCGAAGAGGTATACCAGCACGGGGAAAGCAAACGGTGTAGTGAAACCCAATCATCGCCTATATGACAAAACAGGCAAGGCAGGACAGGACGCCCTCAGCGGTCTCACCGCTGGGCAAATCCACACCACGTACGGTGGGGCTTGGGGAAAAAGCCGTCAGGAATCACCGACTAGTTGAAAAGACACAAATGGCCGACCAACAAAAGGAGGCCATGAGAAAACCGAAAGCTGGTCAATGCCCTGGGAGTAGGAACTCCGAGGATGAATTGCCGACGGAGACCTGGGCAACCATCGTGGCTAGAACGCCAAATGGAGGACCAAGCCCGAAGAGGTCAATGTCCCTTCATCATAGGAATGGGTCCACAGTGAAAAGCCCAGGGCTAGCTTTTGGGAAGATCATCAGCTCACCAGAGGGCATAACTTGGACAGTGATGCAGTCCACGGAAGCAAATAAGTCAAAAAACGAGGCGGTCCCTCGGGCTCTGCTACCGAGGATTTGCTGAGATTAAGGCAGGCTCACCACTATAAGGAGGCAGAGGCTGCAAACATGTGCTACACAAATGCCTGTAGTATTGAAGCTAAGTGAGGCGAACTGGAAGCTCGAATCCAAGGTTCAGTGATCATAGCAATCACGGAAACATGGATGCAAAAAGAGCAATTCACGAACTGTCCTAATAACTATGCAGTCTACAGGCAGGATAGACAGGATGACAGACAAAGGGGAGGAGTGTTGATATTGGCCAAGAATAATATAAACCATTAGAATGCACAAGCCACACCTAATATCCAGGCCATAGCATGCAACGTGCTCTTAGGTAGGAGACCACTAAGTATATTAAGTGCGTACAGAGCACCGCAAGCAACATTGCTAGAGGATACTGAGCTACTTGAGGTTATGCAAGTGTTCTTTTCGAAGTCCCAAAGGGTTCTAATAGTTGCAGACTTCAACCTCCCGGAGATCGGCTGGGTGGAAGCGCGCGCAACGAGTGGGTCTACACGGGAAACTCTACTAGAATGGATACAGTCACGCGCTAACACAACACGTTACGCAGGCCACAAGACTCAGGGATCAACAGAGGCCATCCATTTTGGACCTAGTCATAACATGATACGCGTCGGATGTAAGCGAAATAGAACTAGAAGAACCACTGGGTAAAAGTGATCATCTGGTGTTGAGATTCCTGCTCACGGAAAAGCACAGAAAGCCAGAAGCCTCGCTGGTACGATGCTATAGTCGTATAAATGAGGTGGCCTTGCGTGAAGCAGCAGGGCAGGTGATCTGAACACCAGAATCCCCGGAGCCCACAGTGGAAGAGAGATGGCATAAGATCCAAGTAAGTATATGCCGACTTATGGACGAGTTTGCTCCGTTACGTCCCAAGCGTGAAAACCACAGGCCAGTGTGGTGGCGGCCCAAACTAGATATAGTACTTAAAACACGCCGACGATGTTGGGCAAATTATCGAATGTATGGTACGCATCAGGCATGGTGTCAATACAAGAAGGCTCGTAATAAGTCACATGCTCTACAACAAGTGGGGTTTTCCAGGGTTCAGTGCTAGGTCCCTTACTTTTTCTCATATTCATCAACGATATGGCATAGGATCTTCAAAATCCGTGTTTCATGTTTGCTAAGGACGTCAAAATGACAGGGTTAAACCTGCAAAGGGACCTACAGGTAGTCCATCGATGGTCAGTCAAGTGGGACCTACCTTTGAATCTAAACAAGTGTCGGCTATCAGCAACGAGAGCGGGGTATACTCGTTGAATGGAGCTCCCATGCAGCAGGCGCCGCAGATGAAGGATGTACTTCAACCACCTTCACCTCACCTGTCTAACTGTAGCTCCCCACACCCTCCTCTTCATACTAGGTTACTTTTCTTTTCTCCTCCTAACCTCTCTTCTTTTGCCTGCGGTTTTTCTGTTGTTTGCTGGACGGGTACTCGGCTATCCTGGTTCGTCTGTGACTGATCAGCTGGTGCTGGTTTCATCGACAGCATACCGGATTGGCGCCACGGCCGTACCCTTACACCACCAAGGATCGATGAACTCAACGTCGAAGCGTTACCAGACATACGTGGCCCGTAGACACAAGAACCTTAACTACCATACTGGTTGAAGCCGCGAGTCCTGCGAACTGTCCTGTCCTGTCCACTGCTTACTTCTTGGGAGACAGTATCGGCGGAGAAGCTCTGGCCTTCCTAAAAAGGCCGTGTTTAAACAACCTTGTTTGTTTCTTAGATATAATATGCAAATCCAAGATTTGCATGTGTAAATTTTATATCTAATTGCGTTAATTGGTTTGTATGCCCGCTTATTTTTCTGCAGCTTTGAGAATACCGAAATATCACTATCTCTTGTGGAGTATTGCGTATTTCGTCATGAACATTCCTTCGGTGTTCGTTCAAACCGCTTTCTCTGAACCAACAGCACGGCGATCCGTCCAAAATTGACGAAATAAATTAAACTGTTGTGAACCAATGTAAATGTGTACGCGGAAGGTCATCGGGAATTGATTCGGGTTTTGGGATATATCACAACATAGAAGGAAAGTTGGGGCTACTGGAGCCGGATAAAGAGGATACTGAAGGCAGAATCCGGTTCTGTTGGCGATATTAAGAGGAAGTTTAATATCGGTATTGCTTTCACTTTTCGCCCTTAAACATCTTTTATTGTACAAATGGTTATTTTGACAGATTTGAAATCGTTATGTCGATTGTGAAATTTCAGTGGGATTGGACCCCACGCATGGATGCGACGATCTTTTATCCCAAACATCTAATCATATCCACTGCTTTGCCAATCATGCCACTCTCCCTTGTTCTCTTTCTTACCCCATAATTCGTCAGGCTAATNNTACCAACATCGATCACGATCGTAATGTCATTAGTGCTTCCTTTGCCTTCGATCTCGGACTAATCTCCGCATGGGGTTCTACCAGCCATGTGTGTTTCAGTGCTTCCGAAATTTCTCTCCTCTCAGTCTCTCTTAAACATATCTCCTTTTCTCCTCAATTGATTTTTGATTCTTTGCCCCTTCGTTCCACAAATTCTCTCTTCCTCCTGGGTTTATCCATAACTTCTCTCTGTTGGTCCCCTTTTATTTCTTGCCTCTCGCACTGCGCGGAAAGTTGGTTTTCTATTACACGCTAGGCGTTTCTTTACACCCAAGCACATTATTTTATACAAAGCTCAAATCCGTCTTTAACTTCCACCTTGCAGTCTCTTTCCCATTGCCGGGCAGTTGCTTCGTTATTTCTTTTCTATCGTTACTATTTTGGTTTTTGCTCTTCCGACCTCGCTTCAGCAGTTCCCCTTCCATTGACCTCTCGTCCATCTCATTCTCAGGTGACCAGTCACCTTTATCAGGTTTGTATCCCCAGATATCGGACTTCTATCTTTCAATCTTCTTTTTTCCCGAGGACTGCGAAATTGTGGACCACCTTTCCCATTTCGGTGTTTCCCAGCT